GAGCATGGCCTTTATGCGACACGTCTTGATTCCTGATACGGTCAACGAATGCGAAAGAAACTTTCATGGTATATCCGGCAAGCAATTTGTGCACAGGCTGTAGCATTTTTACACTCCACTGTGCTATAGTATGGAAGGCGGAATTGCTCACGTCAACCATTGGTCTAAATAACACGTTTGGCTTGCGAAATTTTGGAAATACATAGGGTCTCGGTGGGTGAGATCCACATGGAAGGAGTTTGTCAAAGGTAGATTTGGTAATGTAAATCCCTGCATTAGGTTATTCCAACATCTCTGAAAGTTTCGTTTCGGATTCCTGCGCCGTTATATCGCATCCAGTTTTGTACATTTTTCATCATTTTCATCATTTGGTCGAGCCAGTGGTATTTGTAACCGTGGCTACCAGAACGATTCCGTATGTCTGTTCTGGGGAACTTTGAAATCAGGGTTTCCCTTTTTCCCAAATGATTTCATTTCCATCGGTTTACCGGTGGGTTTGAAACCCCAATTGTTGATTCTCCATCCTGGATAGAAACCAGTTTGGAAATCATGGATGAGATGAACATCATGAATGTATTTCTTTTAATGAGAACCAGGCCTAGTATGCCCTAGGGAGTTGCCCCAAATTTTCGGACATAAGTAAAGCATTGAATTATGATTTACGTAAGGATGACTTTGGATAAGATTATCAAAGGAAGTCAAATTTTCCTTATAACACTATCTAAATTTTATTTATATTTGGTCGTGATGGAAAAATAATTGTGTTGATCGACAAAGAGCACTACACTGCTGTTTCGTTACGTTTAGTAGCGGTCAGCAGTAAGTATTTTTGGGTTCCTGTCAGGACTCATGTTTAAATGCATTCATCCAGTGGGGGAATTGATGACCTCCCAAGGAGTGAAACACACACCTAAGACCATCAAGAGTGCCTAGTATATCTGAACAATTGAATGAGCTCAGCCAAACTTGATGCTCTGTGTTTATTCATATTTGCTTCAAAAATATGATTTTATGACGATTGTATGATCCAAAACATCAGGAAGAGAAAAAAACATATCGCAGTCGGACCTTTTGGAATTTAAACCAGTGGAAAAATGACATTCTCGTTTAAGTTATTCAAATTTCTGACAGTTCTCGCTTTGGGTGAGGTGGACATAAAAGATCTTATCCATGTGCTTTCTTTATCAAAATGACATTATTCTTTTGCTAGCTCAATCTTAAACACAATTAAAGAAGTTTAGTTTCACCAGACAGCAATTTATGAAATTATCGCCCTAGGTGATTTCTTGTAATATATTCCTGATA